TCCTGCACTTAGAACAGGGATATAGCATCTTCCTCATGTAAGGTCTCTGATATATATGCAGGCTGGACTTCTGTGAAAAACATTTCCCGCACTCTGAACAAGGGTATGGCTGCTCCCTCTTGTATTATCACTGATATATAAAAAAAAATAGAACTTACATGAAAGACATTTCCCCCACTCGAAACAGGAATACTTCTCCCCCATATGGGATCTCTTGTTTCTATGGGATTGAACTTCTCTAAGAGACTTTCCCGAACTTTAGGACATCTCTTCCTTTACTCCAAGTGAGGGGTGAGGCAGCTCCAGGTACTCTCTTCTGGGGAACATTGCACTCGACATTCCCCTCAAACAATGAGTGGATTGCAGGGGGGGTTTACTCAGCCCATTTCCGCGTGTCTCCAGCTACCACGGTCCTGTGTGCAGGAGGAAGAGAGCTGACGTCTCCCTTGCTCCAAGAAATGCCGCCGGCTCCTCTGCCTCCCAGAGCTCCCTTGCAGCAGATCACCTGATCGCCTGGCGTCCACTGAGCTCCGGGGAACACACAGCGCCGGGCCGGGAGCACAGGAAGACCCGCCGTGATGGCCGCCACTCCCGGAGGTTCTCGGTCCACGCATCCCACCAGGCAAGCCTCCCCTCTCCCCGGCTAGTCTCTCCATGGCTTCCTGCACATCTCTCCCCTTCTCGGCAGGAAACTGGAGGCGCTTGGGAGCCGGGAGCCCTCATATCGAGCTCCGGCTCCAAGCCATGGTCAGGCTCCTTCCTGGGTGTGGTCCTCAACTGGAAATATCTGTTCTAGATTTAATAACAAATCTTGGGCCATCAAACAGATCCTTTCCAAAAATTGACACATCCTTAAGAATGATCCCACCCTGGGTGACTCGCTCCCAGAAAAAACCTTGTTTGATCTTCAGGAAACCCAGAGACCTTAGAAATATTCTAGCCCTTAGTATTCTTCCCAAAATCGGTTTCGGGTGCATGGTCTGGCTTTTTTGTTCAAAAAGGCAACTATAAATGACCACACCAGTCTCTAACGGTGGCACTTGCGAGTTCACCTGGCATCGCAAGCGTGACATTACTGGGTCTGATGGCAAGAAATATGACAAACAGTTTATCAATTGTTGGGACGTCATTCTTTGTCTATGGTCTTATGTGCCCATGCGACTTACTCTTTATAGACTGCACTTCTTGCCCCCTGAGAGTTCGTATCAGCGAGCATAAAAGTAATATTAAGAATTGCAAAGACAAATATTCAGTCCCTCATCACTTCAAGGAAGTCCACCAGAGTAACTACTGTGGAATCAGAGTCTTTGGTGTAGAGGCCATACCTAAAGATCTGGATAATGGCAGGAGACACCAAAGACTTTGCAGGAAAGAGAGCTTTTGGATTTTTACATAAGACACCTTATCCCCTATCTAGAAACACACACCTTGGTATAGTTTTTATGAGAATTTGTATTTATTATTTAGGTGCTGCATACGGGAAGGATTCCTTGTTATTTTATCACCCAACTTTTAGATACTTAATATTTATACTCAATTCTTTGTTATCCATCATCTTCAGTATCCTTTATATATTTATATATATATATTTTATATTTTCAATGTCTGTAGTAATTCTCCGATTTCTTATTTTTTTTTCATTTTAATTCTTATTTTATTAATTAATATTTTTTGTATTATTTTATTTAATTAATTTATCTCTGTTTCTGGCAATCGTGATACATTCAGTATGTTCAGCCACTAATTATGTATTATTAATTAATTAATCAATCTACAGCCAACATTCATTATTGATCAATTACTTTATGACCCCTCTGTTCCCTCAGTTTGCCCAGTAGCCCATATTCAGTAAAAAAGCAGTAATAGAGTCCCTAATTCCTTTATAGTATCATTATTTTTCTTTCCTTCGTATCAGATGCTGGCGTGTATTCCACCGCCACCTGAACTAACTGCAGTTTAAATTCCTCTCTCCACTGCCATTATGCAAATCTGATACATGAAATAACACACTTTGGCAGAATGGCTTCCAGATACCAGCTGACCGATCTAAAGTAGTAGAAAACTTCAAAATGTCATTGCTGAGAGCTGTTAAAAGTCCTTTCTACATGGGTCCAATAGAAATCAATATAAACCACTATACAAGTGATCCCGTGCTTCTTTTTACAACTTTAAGGTAATATTAATATAATATTTTATTCAGGTTATTTTATCACCTTTGCAATTATCAATTTGAATTTTGATGGTACCTATGGACTAGGCATAGTTTTTTTATGTTTTCCTTTCGTTCTCCTTTTTATTTAGTATGTACACACTTACATAGTTAGTCTGGCTGAAAAAAAGACAAAAGTCCATCCAGTTCAACCATAGAAAAAAAAAAAGTTATAATCCTATACCCACAGTTGATCCAGAGGAAGGCAAAAAAAAAACCCCCAGCAAATCACGATCCAATTTGCTCCTGCTGAGAAAAAAATTCCTTCCTGTTCCCCCGAGAGGCAAATGGATATTCCCTGGATCAACTTTACCTATAAATGTTAGTATCCATTTATATTCTGTGTATCTAAGAAACAATACAGGCCTTTTTGAAGCAATTAACTGAGCTGGCTAAAACCAACTCTTGAGGAAGTCTATTCCACATCTTCACAGCTCTCACTGTGAAGAAACCTTTCCGTGTTTGAAGATTAAATTTCTTTTCCTCCAGATGTAAAGAGTGCCCCCTTGTCCTCTGTGATGACCTCAGGGTAAATAGCTCTACACTGAGTTCACTATATGAACCACTGATGTATTTATACATGTTGATCATATCCCCCCTAAATCTCCTCTTGTATAAATTCGGGTGCCGAAACAAAAAATTCAAAATGCAGTTGGTCGAAAATCGAAACCAAAATGCGCCGTTTTTAAAAATGAATATATATATTTTGGAAAAAATACACTTTGATAAAAAAAAAAATATATATACCCCAATTGTTTTGAAAAATATGTAAGAGGATGTTACGGTGAGTAAATAGATATGTCACGCTTTAAAATTGCACACGATCGTAGAATGGCGTGAAACTGCGGTGCTTAAAAATCTCCATGGGTGATGATTTAAAAATTTCTACAGGTTAGCAGTGTAAAATTACAGAGGAGTTCTACAGTGAGAATTATTGCTCTTGCTATGAGGAAAGATTAGAGGAACTGAATTGATTCTCTCTTGAGAAGAGGAGATTGAATACAATCTTTTATCCAGTTTTCTATCCATTTACATACGGATTTTTCCAAGCCCGTAGACTTTACCTTACACATTAGCCGTGTGTGGGGAACACTTTTGCAAAATCCAAGTATACCACATCCACCGCCATTTGTTTGCCCCCCTCTGTCCAAGGTTTTGCTCACCCCCTCATAAAAAGAAATCAGATTTGTTTGAAAACTTCTGTCTTTCATGAATCCATGCTGCCTGTTGCTTAAAATATTTTTTCCAGCAAGAACTCATCTACAGTATGTAGTCAGGGGCGGACTGACAACTCATGGGGCCCCCGGCAATAGGGGATCATGGGGCCCCTGTGTCCTTGCCCAAACTCAAAGCCTATGAAAAAGGTACCAGGGGCATCTCATGGGGCCCCCTACTGACCCCGGGCAGTCGGTCAGCGCCCGAGTTTCCAAATGGTCAGTCTGCCCCTGTATGTGGTCTTTTATTAAACTCTCCAGTATCTTCCCAACTATAGAAGTTAAACTAACAGGTCTATAATTACTTGGTAAAGATTTTGACCCCTTTTTAAAATATTGTCACCACAGTGGCCTTACAACAATCCAGTGGTACTATGCCAGTCATTAAAGAGTCCCTAAAAATTAGTAACAATGGCTTTGAAATGACAGAGCTCAATTCTTTAAGGAACCGTGCCACCCAGACCAGGTGCTTTATTCACCTTACATATAATTATAGTTACTTTTGAAAGAATGTTAGTATCAAGTATACGTACATAATTTTGTCATCTCTTTGGCATGTTTTTATTGGTAATCATATATCTACAATTGTATCTATTGTTATTTTAATTGTATGTCTACATTAGTGGTGCACCGAAATTAAAATTCGGGTGCCGAAACCAAAAATTCAAAATGCAGTTGGTCGAAAACTGAAACCGAAATGCGCAGTTTTTAAAAATTAATATATATGTTTTGGAAAAAATACACTTTGATTAAAAAAAAAAATATATACCCCAATTGTTTTGAAAAATATGTAAGAGGATGTTATGGTGAGTAAATAGATATGTCACGCTTTAAAATTGCACACAATCGTGGAATGGCGGCGTGAAACTGCGGTGCTTAGAAATCTCCATGGGTGATGCTTTAAAAATTTCTACAGGTTAGCAGTGTAAAATTACAGAGGAGTTCTACAGTGAGAATTATTGCTCTTGCTCCAACGTTCGTGGCGATACCTCACATGTGTGGTTTGAACACCATTTACATACAGTATGTGGGCATGGCCTACATATGCGTTCATCACTACGTACGAGCACGGTGGGGACAGGGGCACTTTAAACTTAAAAAAAAAAATTATTACTTTTTTTTTTTAATTTTTGCACTGTTCCTTTAAAAAAAATTGTAATCACTTTTATTCTTATCACAAGAAATGCATGCATCGCTTGTGATAGAAATAATTAATGACAGGTCCTCTTTCTGGAGAGATATGAGGTCAATAAGACCCCACATCTCTCTTCTGCAATGTAAAGCATTAGATGAAAAAAGCATTGATCTAGTGCTTTAACCACTTACTTACCAGGCACTTATACCCCCTTATTTACCAGGCCAATTTTCAGCTTTCAGCACTGTCGCACTTTGATCGACAATTGCGCGGTCATGCAAGATTGTACCCATATGAAACTTTTTGCATTTTTTTTCTCACAAATAGAGCTTTCTTTTGGTGGTATTTATTCACTGCTGGGCACTTTACTTTTTGTGCCATAAGCAAAAAAAGTGCAAAAAATGTTGAAAAAAAAGTTTTTTTGCTTCTATTATACCATTTTTCAAACAGGTAATTTTTCTCCTTCACTGATGTGCGTTGATGAGGCGGCACTGATAGGCAGCACTGAAGGGCACTGATAGGCAGCACTAATGAGGTGTCACGGATAGGTGGCACTGATAGGCGACACTGATAATGGGCACTGATAGACAGCACTGATAGGTAGCACTGACTGACATCACTGCTGGGCACTGACTGGCACAACCGCTGGGCACTGACTGGTGGCACTGACTGGCAGCACTGCTGGGTTGCACTGATGGGCACTGGTGGGTGGGCACAGGTGGGTGGCACTACTGGGCACAGGTAGGTGGCACTTCTGGGCACAGGTAGGTGGCACAGCTGGGTGGCACAGGTGGGTGCACTGCTGGGTACAGGTGGGTGCATTGCTGGGCACAGGTGGGCGCATTGCTGGGCACAGGTGGGCGCACTGCTGGGCGGAACTTGTGTGTGGCACTGCTGGGCACCGATCATCAGGGCACTGATGATCAGTGACCCTGATGATCGGTGCCGATCCCCGCTCTGACAACTGCCGGTTTTCGGCAGTACTTTCCTCACGATCTGACAGCGTGAGGAAAGTGCAGCCGAGAACCGGCATTTGCATTTTCCCGGTGATCAGCGTGTCATTGCACACGGCTGATCACGTGGTAAAAGGCCGCTGTGATTGGCCTTTTACCACGTCACGTGATCAGCTGTGTCTGTAGGACACAGCGATCACGGAGATCGCCGGGTGCTCGCTTGGGGGGGCGCGTAGGAGAGCGTGTTCTGGGAGGACGTCATATGACGGCTACCCAGAACTGGCCGGCCGCAGTGCAGCCATCTTTCAGCTATCTGCGGTCGGCAATTAGTTCAAACAAAACAAAAAAAAATAGCTGGAATCGGAAGTGACCTCCAAGGGCATAGAGATGTGTGGCGGCCATCTTTCCTTCTCTCATCTCTATGCCCAACGCCGGGATAGATAGTTTCTCAGGTAAAACTGAACTACTGAGCGGCGGCCGGTGGGTGCGTGGCAGCAGCGGGACGGGCGGTGGCGAGGGGCAGGTTTTTCTTCGGAACCTGTATCAGTGTTTTATTAATTTTGGCCGGCAGCCTAAAGTGGTGTTTTCGGCCGAAACGTTTCGGCAACAGGAATTTCAGTGCATCCCTAGTCTACATATATTTCTATGTTTTATAGATATATATTTATATCCTTGTTGCGACATGTTGGCCCCACCACTTAGGATGTGCTTGCCCCACCCATTTGGGAAGGCTCACACATAGATACTGACTATATATAGAGGAGGGTTTTCTCAGTCTGGTTAGCTCTGATGAATAAGGGACCCCCCCTTCGAAACGCGTGAGCGTCACTCTGAGAGTCTCCCCTTCCCATGGGATTTGCACGTGTCTCCTTATCGTAGGATTTGCTTTTGGATTTTATATGCCTGTTTTATTACTACTTTTGTGAGTATATCTCCTAAATCAATAAATCAAGTAATTCTTTACTGAGGTAATTCACAAGGTTGGTGCGCTCTGTTTTTGTTCTCTACTACAGTATCCAGGAAGCACCTACAGGTGTTCTAGAGGCATAAATTACAAATCTCATTTCCTATCACATTTTTTAAGGCCCTAGAGCACCAGGACAATGGAATTACTCACAAAATGACCACATTTTGGAATGCAAATGCCCCAGTATATATTCTATGAGGTATAACGAGTCTTTTGAACATGTCATTTTTTTTTCCACAAGTTTTCAGAATTTGCAAAGAAAATGAAAATGTATTTTTTTTTTTTTTTTTTTTACACAAAGTATGGCGATACCACATATGTAAGACTTTTGCACAGCCTTGACCCATCCAGAGGCCCAACATCCAAGTAGCACCTTCAGGCTTCTAACACAGCATGTACATACCAAGAATTACACCCCAAAAATAAATCTGATGAGCAAAGGGTAAACTAAAAAAATTACTTGTGGTTTAAGTAGTGCAGTTATCCATAGAGGAGAGCATTGGTCCAGGCAGTAAGCAGAGACGTGGTCAGCGACAGCGAAAGGAATCACCCAGGCAGCAGGAAGGAATACTGTCTATAGTCACTACAGGCAGCAGGCAGAGATATTGCCAGCACAGCCAAAGCATTGGTCTAGGAAGCAGGAAGACATGTGGTCAGCACCAGCCGAATGAGTTGTCCAGGCAGACACATGGTCAGCACAGCCAAAATATCAGTCCTGGTAGCAGGCAGGAACACAGTCCATAGTACAGGTAGCAGGCAGAGGTGTGGTCAGTTCATGTGGCAGGCCCCTGCCTCTGCCTGATGGCAGTAAGTCAGCAGCAGGCAGCAGAAATATCAGGCTTAGGGCCTTGGTCAGGTAAGACCTGGGATTCATCCCATCCAATCTCTTCAAAGCCTCCTGACTAATAGACCCTTTTCCGGGAATTGCAAAACCTGGAGAAGACCACAAAGTTATTTATTTAATTTATTTCAGGTACTTATATAGCACCGTCAATTTACGTAGCGCTTTTCATATATATTTTACATTCACATAAGTCCCTAACCCTCAAGGGGCGTACAATCTAAGGTCCCTAACTCTCATTCATATACAAGGGACAATTTTACACAGGATCCAATTAACCTACCAGCATGTCTTTGGAGTGTGGGAGGAAACCGGAGTACCCGGAGGAAACCCACGCAGGCACAGGGAGAACATGCAAACTCTAGGCAGGAGATGCCGTGGCTAGAATTCGAACCAACGACCCTAGTACTGCTAGGTGGAAGTGCTAACCATTTAGCCACTGTGCTACCCACACAAACTTTGTTTTCTCCACTCGGAAAATCTATTCTGGAGCCCCTCACATACATGAGAGACCCCTCTGTTGCCTTGAATCCAACTAATAGAGTCACAGGGTATAAGATCAGTTCAGGAGGCAGGCAAAAAGCATGGTTGATTAACAGGCCATGGTCAATTCACGTGGAAGGCAGAAACGTGGTTAATAGTTAAAGCGGCAGGCAGAGGCATTGTCAATAAACACTCCATGGTCAGTTCAGGCGGCAAGCAGAGGCACTGTTGATAGGTCATACAGGGAAATAGCAGATAGTGGGCACTGGAACAATATCTTGACTAATAGTGCAGAGATGTGTGATAGATCCGGAAGCTCTCTCCAATAGAGAGTCCTGGCTGGGAAGGACATTTTGGACAGTAGTATCGGGTGTCACAGTGAATTCGGTTACTGGAAAATATACAACATATTTTGGGGGGTTTGCGGCCTGTTTGGGTAAGAGGGAGGATATCTCATGGAGTCTGGTCAATGAATCAGAGTGAATTTGTTCAGGGGCATGGGCATGGCCATGCGGATAGAGAAGGGCTGTAACATTATCCTCTTGATACTTCAGGTAGGTTAGGGAACTTTGTGTGCACTTAGAAAAGATGACATACGAATTATACAGGGCTAACTGAAACATGTAGATTGCAACCTTTTTATACCAATAGAGTGATCTCCTGGTAGGGCTGTAACATCTGGTCATTCATATCCACCCCCCCACCCCCATGAACTGGTTATAGTCATGTATGCGTCTTGGTTTCTGGATGGGACCTTGTCTTGTTCCACCGAGATGTCATCACGAATTGAGGAAAGGATATAGACATCTCTTCCAGCTGGCTGACCACACACAGGCAGATACGAATCTTATATACAATCTGGTGCACATTAAGCGTTGGGGAGTAGTCTAGCAATTGGCACACCCTTCTAGGATTCCTCCAGCTATCCTACAAGCTAGAACCCCGGTGTTAATCGAGTCTACACACCCCCACACCACAAATGGTAGCTTGCCACCACCAAACAGTTTATCCACAGACTGGTCTGCTTGGCCACCACACACACACAGATCTCCGTCTGGCAGATCTGCTACTTTACAATCTGCATGCAATCTGCCAACACGAAGTGCAATTGCATACAGATAGGCAATGAACTTGACCGAGCACATAGACACTGCAATACAATACAATCTCTCCGGAGATATGAGCCCAAGCTTCAGTACCCAAAAGTCCCTTATTAATTTTATGATTTAATATCCCGAAAGTGGGCAGTGCATAAGATATGTACAAAGAAAAACCAGTTACAGAAAATACAAAAAGACACACAATTGGCTATTGAATATAAAATAAAAGGGAATAAAAACAGAAATAAAAACTTTTACCAAGGGATTTTACGCAGGATATCTGCGAATGGAGCAAGTCATAGAAAGTCCGCGATTCGCCAGTCAAATAGAACCGGCTCCGTATGAATCACACCCTCCATACCTCAGGGTCCTCAATTTATTGAAATATGGACGGAGGCTGGACATTAGCCCTTGACCAATCAACCCTGGGGGGTGTTCCTGTACCAGCCCACAGGACGTTCTGGGTACTGAAGTGCCCAAAGTCTATTGGACCAGGGACAGTTTGAATCACCAAGTCAGGGATAGAATTTCCGACACCAGCTCATCAGTCCGATCGCGACAGTAGCAATCACTGTTCAGCTGTCACAATCAGTCGCAATATAACTGTTTTCTGTGTTCTTCTGGGATTCTACAGGGGCTACAAATACAGTTTTACATGTAGATGTAGCCTACAGTGTGTCCAATCAGAAGGAAGTATTTTCGTCTCTCTGCAACTAATATTTTAGCTTTCATGAGAGATGAAATATATTCCTTTGATCTGTGGATATACCTCAGAGCTTGGCAGACACATTGGAGCCCTCTTCTGGTCTCCTGCTGCTTCTCAAAGCCGAAATGGCTAGAGTCCTTCTTTTTAGATTTCTAGAAGGTGGCAAACTGTGACTACATAGGTGACAATGTTTTATTGGCATCTAGGTGTCACCTCCAGCCTAGAAGCTGCTCTGTCCTTTCAGATGCTAATTGGTGAACATATGTCTCTGACTGAATTCTGAACACTTAACATCCTTAATAACATGGAACTAAGCTAGATATACAATGACATATTTCTACTGATCACATCTCAACTATCCGAATCCTACATTTATGTTACATCTCCCCCCCTTCTAGGTGATGCATAACTGAGCCTAAACGGGTCGGCTAACAAGTCTGCGAGGAAGGTTCCCTAGGTTGGGGGGGAAGTTCTCCCAACTAAAGCTTGGCACCGCTGACATTTCAGCCTGACCCCCTGCAGATAGGAGAGGGCTACTGTACAGCTCTCGGAACGATCCTAAAGGGTCTGGATCACAACTGGCCAGCAGATCGCCCTGCAGATCCACTTCATACACTGACCACCCGACTACCTACTTGAAGGGTACAGGCAAACCTGTCATTGTGTGCTGTCATCATCTTCAGCCACTGGCCATGGTCATCTGGTGGTTCTGTATTAGCTGCAACACCCAGATGCTTGAGCCTGGCATAAGGTCGTTGCTGGGTGATCTGGACCTGGTTCCATGACTTGTATACCAGAGCCTCCACCCTCTGACCTGTCTCCCACACTTCTGCTGCTCTTTCTCCTTCA